AATTGATAACAGATGTTTAGCTCCAGTGAAAGGAATATGACTTTACATGTCTTTTGAAATGTCACAACTCTTTGTATTCACAATTAGAAGCCATGCCAGAGCAAACCAATGCTGTCAATAGCAGAGCTGAAAGAAAACACACAAAGCACAAGACAGTGCATTCCAGAAACAGTACAAGTGTGGTTTGGAAAACCTAAAATTTGAAGCCACTAAAACAATGATATAAATCCTGCAGTACAGTCATGGTCTGCTTCATTTAGGAACTGATGAGAAATACTGCCTTAAATCTTTCTTTCTCAAGCAATCCCATGAGATTGCCACTTTGTGGGGACAGAAGTATGATGAGGCAAATCTCAGCTACTTTTACTGAAGGGTTTCTTTGAGCGTTTGAATTCCTAGCCCAAATATATATTCATCCTAAAATGAGGAGGAAAAAAAAAAGTAAATCCTTTAGGACTATAGACACTGATTTTATCTTACCATGACATGTCTAAAAGAAACATTCTTACAGACTTCTGTTTTTCTGACAGGGTCTGTAAACTCACATTAGTTCCAATAGCACTCTAGACTGAAGTGCTTTGCAGAAGACTCTGAAACCGCTTGAGGTGGTTCTGTGAACATACAGAACCGTATTGTGCTGTAGATGAATTAACAGATCCAGATTTTCCCTTTCTAACCAAAGCTGATCAAAAGACAACTAGGTGTTCAGGTGTAAAATGACAGCCAGAGACCAGCAAGCTTAGTGCATGGGTTTTGTTTACTCTGATGTGCTCCAGTTTTCAAAAGAAATAAATTATCTCCCCCCTCACAAAAATTGAGTCACGTTTTGTTTTTATCACAATAGTCCCAGCTGTTTCAAATAGCTGGCACTAATAATCTGTGGTTTAGAACTGATTAGCATCCTATATCCCTTCATTTCTAAAATGGAATTTTAATCAGATTGTAATTCCTTGAAACCTCCACGTCAGTGAGTGCTTCCCTAACCATTAATCAATTGAATTTTGCCCTCAATTAAGCTGCTTAAATCCCCTTCATATTACTGATTGATAACTTTCATTGCCTCCAGCACGTCGCTGACACACTGTTAGTTTTTTTTAACATCAGGGCCATGACACTATTATAAAACTGAGAAAAAGAACAGACGTTTGCATTGCTGCTGTTGTGGCTTTTCAGCTTTCTCATTTTAAATCCCTGTTTTCTTCAGGGATTTGAAAGTGGGTCATAAATTCATTCCAAAGAGAAATCACTTTCATTGGTCTAATCATGCAAGTACTCAATGTCTCTTTTGGGAGGCCAGTTCTTAGTGTGGAAGTAGCTTAGCTCCTTCTGTTCTACCCCCCTGCATTATTTTTTTATGGCCTCTATGCTTTTTTGTTGTTGTTTTTGTTTGGCTGGCTGCTTTTGATGCTACTGTGCTGAAGCATGAATAATTTTTTCACAGGAAGTTAGTAAATTGTGATTCTACAATACAGAAGGATAATAACTGAAAGAAAATGAAGTTCTTTGGCTTGAGTTGAAATGCTTCTTATAATACATTGTGAACTAGTTTACTGGAAATGTGAATAAGCTAAATTAATACCTCAGATAATCAATAGCTTTAATGATTTTTCAAGACAAAAACATGCAACCTAAGGGAATAGGTATGCAATCCTTATTCAGACTAAGGAGATTTAAGTTTCTGGGACTGGGTCATGTATCAGCTGGCAATAAATACAGAAACTCGAAACATATTTCTCAGAACAGAAGGTTTTTTTGGGTTAATTAATAATTCATGTTAGAGACACTTATGCATGCCTTTTCAGAGGTGCTACTTCTTAAATATTTTCTTTCTCTGAGACAAAATGGGTGCTTTGCATGTTAATTTACAGCTGCACATATCTTAGTTTTAACCTGGTAGCATGTTCTAGATTTGATACAGCCATGCATTTAAGTTATTATCTGGAAGGCAGAGTCAGGGACAGTAACACAATCTGGAATTTGGGCACCAGAATACACCAGAAGAAAATAAATCCTCAGACCCCCAAGGTAGCACAGAAATCATCTTGAAAGAATAAGCTGAGTTCTCCTCATGTCTTGCTATCAATGTAAAACAGAAAAACCCCCAACCCAGACCCCCAAATCCAAGCATTTCTGTTATGATTACTACTGCTAAACCTAATTAACTCTCAGTATGTGCCAGACATAGCAGACCTGATTAAAGTGTTCTGTCCTGGTGTTAAAAGATAATCCAAGGCCTTTAAGCTTTTATTCAGATGCCTATGATTTTGTAAGAACACCTGCTGTACAGCATATGCTAATTCGAATTTTTGAATTAAAATGGTTTACATCACTCATGGAAGGAAGGAAGGAAGGAAGGAAGGAAGGAAGACCGGCTAGTGGCAGCTCTGGAGTGGCATTCCTTTGCTCCCTGGAAGAACTTAGGATATTTCTTTCTTAATCACCTCTGTTGGAGATTAGCTTCATCTTTGTTTCACTTTTACCTCGTTGAAGTTCCTCACCTTGCTATGTGTCACTCAGGCTGCTGGAAGATTGATGTTTGAGGCTAAAATTGTATTTTGGCTCCATCTGTTTTTGTTGCTGCAGTAGAGTTTCTCCAAGCTTAGAGAAAAAAAATTAAATATGTAATTTGCTTTTTTCTGAGACATTCCACTTTGCACCAGAGCACAGTCAGAGCAAGAGTCATGACCTTGGTGTATCACAGTCCATGGTTTTGACAGGACAATCAGTAGCACAAGATGTTGTGTAGTAGGAAGTGATTCTATGCTGAGTTAATAAAAATCTGCAATATGACACATAAGCTGGGTTTGATTATAGTTCATGCATCAAAGACTTTTTTGTTGGGAAGAAGAAGAGCAGCTTGCTTGCTTTTATTTTGAAGTAGTTCTATAATTTATGGTAGGTTCCTAGTTTAGTAATTAGAAAAAGACATGTATTGTATTCTTGGTATTATCTTGTTTGCTAGAACTCCTCAAGTCTCCCAATGTTTGTCTATAAAGATTTACCTAATGTAATCCTTAAATAAGTGGCACGTGTTCTCATTTGTTTCAGGGAAGTCTTTTCCACTTCTTCTGACACTAAAGTCTGCTGTGAACAGTGAGTGAGGTGGAGAATCAGGGGTCCCATTTATAGCTTTCTAAGTCCATAGAAATAATCCCAGGGGAATTTTGAAAGAGATCTTGAACTACCCAACACTTCTCCTGGAAAGTAATCTCCTGTCAAAGCCAGCTGTTCAATGGGACAGCTTTGTTACAGTTTTTAAAGATGCAACAAAGCAACTGTATGTATTTGTTATTGCCAAGAGTACTTTTTGAGATACTGAGTTCTGACTTAGAAGCTTGCTGTGCTGATTCAGATGGCCATTTTTTCATAACAGAAAATACTTGACAAATATGTGTGGGAAGTCCTTCAGAAGTGCAACACGATTTTCCTTCAGACACCGTTAATATTTGAGGTTGACACTGTTAGAAAAATACAGAAACCATTTTTCCTTGACATTTGGGTTACGCTATCTGAAATTAATTTCAACAGCAACAAGAAACATTGGTGCAAACTGCACCCTTTTGTAAAGGGACACCCTGCTTTACTAAATCTCTAACTGTAACCCTATATTCCTAAACTGAGAAAACACTTCAAAGGACTGTGTTTTACTCCTGCTCTCACATCAGGCAATCAGTAATGCACAAGTTTTTGTATATGTGAAAAGCTGGCACAGTTGATATAATGATAAAAAAGCAAGGTTATACAATTTTCACTGTTGCCACTACCCAAAGTTCACTAAAATATAAAAAGTATCCTTTCCAGGTTTTTTTACTCGCTTGATAGATTTTGATGCTTTGCCATTTGCATTTTCTGATTTTTGTTGCAATAGCTGTGAAAGACATCAATATAAGAGAAGTCTATGATTTACAACTATAAATTTTGTATAGCTATTAGTCAAAGCAGGTCTTCATTTCCCTTCTGGAAAGGTAATAGTTACAACTGAATTCCTTCTTCAGGGGCTAAAAAAAGCTACAGAAAGATTTGTGGGATAATCTTTCTTTTAATCATTACTTTTAGTTAGGTCTATACCTTTCTCTCTGTCTGCTTTTTCTGTGCATATTTACTTTTATTTTTGTGTTTCCTTTTCTGTTTGTCATTCTCGGTCCTTACTTTACCTTATTTTCTCAGTATTTGCCTTTCTCATGCATGCTTTTAATGTACCTTTACTTTTCTTAAATATTTCTGTGTGCTTGTATTCTCTGAAAGTGCAGGGTTATGTTTAGCAGTCAGTAACTCAGGGATTGAGTGACTGATCACACTGAATTAATGCTGCATCTCCAGTATCCTCCCATCACCTTTCTCAGCCTGCTTCTTTCTGACACTCCGAGGATTTGTTGTACTACTGTGCCAGGGTAAGAAAATAGCATAAGCTTGCTCTGAGATAGTTGCTCTCTCTGCTGTGGTCTAATTTGCTCCTTCTCAGCCTTGCATATTTCATCACCTTGCCAGAAGCTGTAATATCCTCCCTGCTTTGTCTGCAAATGAGCCCATACATTTTTGGTGAAGCCCTGTCCTTATACTCCACAGTGAGCCAAAGGGAATGTGCTGGTCGTGACTCTGCTGGAGGATGTTCTTCATATTGTGCTAATGCCACAGGACTGGCACAGATTATTACCTTAATATATGGTATGTGGCAACATATTTCTGCTTCATACTTCTGAGATTCAACATCTCAGCCTCGTTACTACAATTTTTCTCACCATTTTGTGGGGCTCAGAACCTCATGTGGGTATTATTTACAAAGCTAAGATTTTTACACTTGCTGTTATTGATTTTGTGTGAGCCCTTCCTGGAATAAAACATGGACATTTGGCTTATATTAGTAGGAAAGACATGCTGTGTTGTAGTGCCTGAGAGGCTGTGGCATACAGTAGAGTTTGCTGGACAGCCTTGTTGGTTCCCATGAATACATAAGTTCCCATTGATACATTGTTGACCAATATTGTCTCTATCACCTGCAGGAAATGGGTGGACAAGCAACTGAACTGTCAGCTTGAATCTGAGAATGAAAATAGACATAACTGGACGTCTTCACATCTTGTATAGGTCAGTGGTACAATGTTCCCTTGAAAAGAGTAATTGCCTTTTTTCCCAGTTTCGAAAGCAAAACTTCAAGTCTTAAAAAGGAACAACACAAAATATTTATGACTCTGGAAATCCTTTCATAAAATGAGGATTCCATTTAAAGATTTTCCATGTAAACTAGAAATGTTTCAGGAAGGTAATGGATACATGGTGATGGAGTAAAAATTGATGGTCAGTGACTGAATGGCCTTAAGTCAGTTTCCTGGCTCTTTTCCTAGGGTTTAATAGACTGCTGAATGCTCTAATCAGTGTGCAATATCATGTACAGCTTCAGTTCTCCCATTTCCTAGCCAGTCTTCCTGGCTCCTGAAAGTCCTGGGAAAATGGTCAGTGTTTGCAAGGGAAATCCAGGTTTCTGCTGCTTGGTCAGGTCATATGCAATGGCTACTGGAAAGCTGCAGTGTACCAGGCACTGCACAGTCCACACTCATGGTTTCCCTGTACAACACAAACAATGCAAAGGATCCTTAGGACAGGACTAAGGATTTTTTATTCCAACCAACATCCAGTGATCACTGAATTTTATTGGAGAAGCTGAGAAGCATCAGCTGAGATCTATCTACATAGGGGCTAGCAGGAATGAACAGGCAAGCAGAGAGTGGGAAATGCAGTATCCAGCACAGTTGGAAAAAAGACCAGAAGTGTGAGTGGGAGCAGTCTATTCTGCAAGGCAGGAAACAGTGGAACTCCCTAAAATTAGAAAGTCCTAAGACTTACAAAGAAGGCAGTTTTTCAACAGAGAAAGGTGGCTGGTGAATACTTCACTTAGCATAACAAAAATCTTGAAACATATTTAATTGGAAAATCTGTCCACTTCAGATCCTGATAAACTCCATTTTATACTTAGAATGTGTAAGCAATCAAAAAGGAAGTAGCTTCTGGGAATGAAGTAATGTTATTTGTATTTACAAATGCATGCACACAAACATCCTCACCCATTTATTTCTGTACACACGAGCCCACAGCATATGTGTATTACTATTACTGTGCTCTCGAGGATGTAATTCTGGAGTGCTTGGCTAAGCACCATGGTCTTGACCTGTCAGCAAAGAAGGTTTAAAGCAGGCCTGGGGTTTGGAGAGTTTCCATCTGCAGACTGGCTTGCATGGCTGGCTGTGCACAGGAGAGCTGTGGTGAGACTGAAGAGCTAGGCAATTGTAGGGCTGAGACAATGATTTTTAAATCCGCTTTGTCAAATGCAATATTTTAAGTCTATTCCTCCAAATGCCTTGTTTCCTGCAAAATGTCACCGCGGAAATTTTCCCTGTAATGAGGCTGACAGTTGTAGCAAGTCTCACTGCTCACAGAAGGGACTGGGTGATTCAGACAGGCAGTGATGATCAATGAGGAATGCTGCATATAGCATGTCACAAACGGAACAAAAAGGTTAGGGGCATGTGAATGAGGGAGTTGAGCTGTCACCATGAGCCTTGCCTCCGGGTTTCATTCTGAAAATTGCAGGGAAGTTGTGCTCTTCCTCCCTCGAGATTTGCATAGGACATTTGCTGCATCAAGGATTCCTTCTGACATTTCCAGTGGAAGCAGCTAGCAGAAAGAGGGAAGTCAGATAGCAGAGTGCCTCTGTGCGCTGTGCTGTTGCCAAGCAGATTATGTGCTGTAATCTGTAAGCACTGAACTGTGTTTGAATTACGAGGAACCTCTCCTTTGCTTTTGTTTTAGCCCCCTGGGAGAGGCGATATTTCCGGGCTGCTAATGTCACAGCGTGACCTGTTAATAACCTGCGAGCCTTCCTGCGCTCCGCTGCCTCCCGCTCCCCCAGGAGCCGGCAGCTGCCGTCACACGGATCGAATGCCTGCCTTCCCCGCGCTTCATTGAGAAAAATTCAAGCATGTGGCCTGAGGTTCCCCTGATGACTGTCTGGGGATGATGATTTCTACCATCTGTTCTGGCTGCCTGTGGCTCCCGGAAACACCGAGGTGTATGTTGCTTCTGGCCATACGTGGGATTCCTAATGAAACCTCAGCTGCTGCCCAACTGTCTGTGGATATCAGATGGGTTTGAATTATCTTCCGCCAAGAGGGGAGGGAGAAGCACTTTGTTTAACTCTTTAATCTGAACCACTAGACAGCACATGCATAATCACAGGCTACAAAGCCGCTGAATTATTAGCATCTGCATCGCGGTGGCAGCTGTAGCTTTTGCACGTGTGCTGGGTCTGCCTCATTCAAGATACCCGGGCTGGTTGTTTCCAGGCTAAATATAAAGCCTCGCGTGAAATTCATCTTACTTTAGCTCACTTGGAAGTCTTGTAATTATACCAGAGATTTATTTGATCCCTTCACTTCTGATTTGTGTTAAAGGCACATTTCAGATATATAAATTGTATATCAGTATAAGAAAAAGGCTGCTTATCAACGGTTTTAAATGCAGCTGAGGAATTACAGCATTTCCAAAGTTATTTATTGAGACAGAGGAAGTCAGGGCAAATTGATATTGATTTTGATATATGGATGAGACTTTTGTGCAAAATAACCTTGATAATGAATAAATACACATGACTTCTCTTTCAGGATTTGACATTCTGTCTGTTATTTTCCTTGTAACCTATCATTTAGAAACCTTTTCTCGATGTTTGCCGAAAATCAGATTTTAGTGGATGTTGAGGGTCACTATATCACCCAGAAGACCACATCTTAATAGAAACGTTTTGACTCTCTTTCTTGTTAGAATTGTCTGGAATTCATCCCTTAATATTCACACGGTTTTCTCCATTGATATACATACTATTTTATTTGAATTAATAGATGCTCTCAGTAAAAAATACAACGAGTTTTATGTGGTCAAAAAAATTGTTTACACACTCAGTCCTGGAACAGAGAAGTTATTACTGAGATGCTGAATGGATCAGCCATAACTGCTTACATTTCTTGCAGTCGTTGTTCAGGCAGAGATATGCAGAATTTAAGACTTGTAAGAGACCTCAAAGGGAAAAGGAAAAGGAAGGAGATACCTAGTGGGAGGCAGCAGTGACCACCTTGGGTTTTTAAACAGTAAGGGAAGAGTATCAGTGCATGGTACTAGATGCTTCACATTTTCAGATTCAGGTCAAACACCTCTGTAGCAAGACCTTATGTACATATTTTTAGAGGCCATTTTTCTACTAGTGTTGTGGATGCTAATCAAAGAATGTGAAAACTTCTTTGCAATGGCTTACCAAAGGGTGTTTGATTGTTTTTGCTTTTGGAGCTTTTTTTGTTATGCCATGAGACATAACAGCAATCTGCAAATGCTTTCAGCAGCTAGTGCATAGGCACGGGGTGGGAGTCAGGGTTCCCACCACTGCTGGAATCTCTTTCTCTTGTCGACTGACTCATGCAGAGAAGTGCACATAACTCTTGCATATGCAGGCTGCCAGAAATCAGTATCAGGGTAGGAGGCTTCAAAATAGGCAACACCAGAAAGTTCAATAAAGCTTGGAAAAATATTTCTGTTTCTAATTTTCTAATTTATTGATTAAAAAAAAAAAAAAGCTAGTCAAAGACACAGGAGCTATATAGAGAAACATTTTGTGAATTTATTTTCTCCAACCTGGATTGACCCAGTAGCTACCTCTGCCTTCATCTTTAAAGCAGATTTTCTTTTAGGAATGAATGCAAGTCTACTGGCTTTTAGCAAACATGAGTGAGTTAATAGGAACACGCAAATACAGGACAGGTGTTTTGCCTATAATGTAAAGCTTCTCCGGCAGCATTTCTCTTTTTGTGTCTGGATATAGGAAAATTTATCTGTACTAGCAGTGTCTGTCCAAAAAAATCCCACCAAAACCTCACCAACAGAAAAAACCCCAACCCCAAAACCAACCCCCTTACAAGCCTCTTAATTTTAAAAATAGTTAGCTTTCAGCCCAGAGCTTTTTAAGGGAAATCTGGTGTTTCTTTCTTTTTCTCTCTGCATAGACCTCTGCATCACTGAAGAGAGATTTGACAGATGGAGACAGCTTGTAACAATGTACTTGAAGCTCTGAAAGACTAAAATGAGTAATCAAAACCATTCCAAAAAGGATTTTTTTCATGAATCTGTCTAAAAATATATGTCTCAGAGATTTTCTTTCCCCCTTTTTCCACTCCTCTTTTTTTTTTGTTTGAAGTAAGGTGGGTATTTATACTTAGCTGCACATCACTATGTGTGATTTCCCTTTTCTGTTAGTCACATCATGTCTTGGCTTGCAGTCACAAGTGACGTAAGATATTGCAAAATTTCACTAGTAATTATGTTTGGAGATCCCAATGTGAATCTCCTAATCAAGTTCTTCTGCCATAGTCCACTTTTGTTGAAATTTATATTTTGATGAAACATTTGCAAAAATTTTTCTGAAGTGGAGAAATATACTCTGCAATTTCTAGGTCTCAAATGATGACTGTAAGGGGAAGAACATGAAAGCTTCCCTCCTTTTGTCACTTGAAATATTTCCTTTAGGCTTAGCAGGCTCTTAGAGGAATTTGAGTATACATACCTGTGGGAACACTTGGCCTGAAGGAATTCTTCTTTGGGTTGCTATTGAGAGTTGCACTGAATTTCAGTTATCTGTGCCACAAACCCTAACTGGATTAGAGGGAATGTTGGGGAGAACTTCACAGATGATGGAGGAAGAAATGACTGTCAGAGCAATTTTGTTGCTAGCACAACAGAAGAAAGTCTGCCATTTCCAAATACACCTATGCATACTCCCTGCTCCACGTTATGAGCATACAGCCTGATGTATAGCAAGGATCTGGTTTACTTTGGTGCTGAGCACTTACCTTTATGGTTGTGGTGCTGATAGCTTGCAGTTCTGAAAAAGAAATTTATGGTTTCTCAGCACAGGCATCCATTTGTGCAGACATGCAGTAAAAGTTTCTGGATGGCTAAAGATTTAGTATAGCTGATCAGGGTTTTTGTGTGATTAATGTGTTAAGTCACTGAGTGTTGACTATCTATAAATGAAGGAAATTTCGGTGCTGAGGGGCTTTCTTTTCAAAAGCCCTAGAAGAATTCAGCCTTCCCATATAATTCTGATCATAAAGAGAATCCTAAACTTTCAGAGCCCTCCTAAGCAGTCTTGTTATATAGAGAGGAGAATTACATTTTACATGGAGTGGATGAACAGAAGTACCTTCTCTAATAAAGGGAATATACCTGGCAGTGGAGTACTTTTCTACAAAACCGTGACAACTTTCCTCTGGAATATTTGCAGGTGCTGTCATTTAAGATGCTCATAAGACTGACTGGAACTCTAGAAATAAACAGGTAAGATTAATTCTATGCTAAAATAAGGTTCTAACGTGACTCCCCACCTCTAAAGGAATGGTGACATTCCTTTGCCATGGCAAATTCAGAGTAAAGAATAGCAAGCACTGACTAAGGGAGTCACTTGCCAAATAAGTGTCCCATTTTCAGAGTAACCTTTTGACTGCCAAAGGTTTTCCTGTCTGACTGCTGTTCCAAGGAATTGATACCAAGGAATTGGTACCTGGCAGCCAGCAAGGTTTCTTATGACAGCAAGCGCATACACAAATAGTCAGAAGCTGCTGGGCTTCCTAGAAGGATATTTTAAATAACCTTATAAGATCTTAGGTAAATCATTTGGACTGGTCATCAAACAGAAAGCCCAGACTTTTGCAAGTGTGTAAGTAAGTTCATGGGGCTTTGTTTTCTGAAGCACACAAGCAGATATCAAAAGAGGCAGTAGATAATGATGCAAAACCATTGTTATGTCATTTCTTTCAGTTTAATCACATCCCAAATGCTTATAATACACAACATGGATTAGTGAAAACTTCAGCAATGGACAGACAAAATCTGGTTCTGGAGAACTGGTGTGATTGCTTGATCCCTGATAGGCAACTGATGCACAACAGTGTTCCATCATCTTATTTTAATCCAAAGTTTAGGCCAAATTCTGTTACGCTCATAAGTTTTAAGTGTTCATTTATATATGAGGTTAATGGGACTGTTGTAGGAATATGACATTTAATTAAAGTAATAGAGTGTGTGAGACTGTCTCTTTGCTAGTATGCTGTTTTCTTATTTTGCTTTCATGTTTTATCTTCTCATTCTATGTGTTCATGCATAGTGTTTCTCGGTAAAACTGTTGCACTACCAAAAATATTGTCCATAACAGAAAGGATAATGAATGATGTGATATCAGGAATGACTGTAAGAATGCCCTTATTATGAAAATTTTTGTGATAGAGACCTTTTTTGCTAGCAACTAAGAACAGAGTATTGTTTACATCTTGTGTACCTTTTGTGTTTCCAGGAACTGAAAAAAAAAATAAAAATTCACAGTTGAGGAGAGAGGAACAACATCCCAAAAAGCTGGATAGCTTTCTCCTACCAGGTTCTCCTTAGAGACACCCATTAACAGAAAGCACACAGTTTCAATTTCAATGAATGCAGCTCTTATTTATTCTGGGGACAGTTGACAGGGTGACTAACTGCTTTGCTAATGAAAATCTGGTGTTTTGCCTTTAGAAAAAATACATTCAAGCAAAATAGATTTTACTTACTACCTTTGTTCTGCTATTTTAAGGATAGGATTAGAAGACAATGCTAATAGGTAGAATTAAAGAGACATATTTGTCCTTGCATAAGCATGAAATGAAAGCACACAATTGAAATCTCAGTGAACTAGAAAGGAAAGTGTACAGTGAGTAACAGCAGGTGTACAGGCCTTCACATCTTGAAGGAGGTGTAATGTGATCACAGTCTCTGCCTTCCTGTGCACTGTGAATAAGAACACGACACAAAGGAAGAAAACGGGGCCACCTCCTCCCTTAGTGAAAAATGTCACAGCTCTGCTGAAGTAAATGGGACTCTGCTTAATCACCTTAGGTAAGGATTTCATCCGTTCAGCTGGAACCTTTCCAGATTGCCACGTAGGTGTCACTCCACCCCACCTGCCTGATCTTCAGCTTTCATTCACTTAGGTAGACAGCAGTAATGTTCTTTCCTGTAACCTGGATCCTGAGGCTATGCCTGCATGGGAGGAAAGCTCTGATTGCACTCCTACAAACAGTGATGGCTGCCCTAGCTCTCAGGCACACCTTTCCTTGAATAACTATTCCGTGATTTCACTTCTCAAGGATGTATGTGCAGGTGTACACACACACACACACACACACACACACACACACACACACACACACACTTTACATGAGATTAAACAGTGTATTACTTGTTATTTTACTGACTTGGAAAATATGCAGACCTTGGGGGGAAAATAGTGTGCTTAAACCCAGAAGAATTTTTTCTTCTATTTTCTGTTAGCAGAATTTTTTTAGTTTTGGATCTGAGTCCCTCTTCCTTATCTTTCTGTTAAGTCATGAAACCTCTCTTCCTCTTGGCTGCCTACTGACCTATTTGTTCATTTCTCATACCAAAACTGAACACAATCCTCCCGCTGCTGCAAAAATATGCTCCTCTCTCCCCACCCAGATACCTACTGAGTAATTCTGTGACATTTCTTGATCTATACCTCCTCTGTGTTCCTAAATGAGGCAACTACCTAGGATTTTCTACTTTCACATTAAGCAGTAAAGAAAGCCAAATTTTCTTCCAGCTTTATCTGATTGATTTCTCAGTAAAGGTTCACCTTAAAAGATGGACTTTCAGGTTTGGCTACAGATTGCTTCTCTT